GGTTCATTTGTAGAGCCTGTGCTGCTCAAGACCTTCTGATAATGCCAGGAAACACAAAGCAGGAGGCAGAGGAGGGAAAAAGGGATGTGTGTAGGGCAAGCTGGTAATGGATATGTGTATAGCAAGCTGGTAATGGATGTTGTCTTCAGTTTCCCCAGTGGTGCCCAGGCCCGTGTTGTCCTGTGCGTTAAGACAATCAGCCTAATTGCCTTGATCTGCCTGCGGATCGGGCAGGAGATGGTGCAGCAGCACTTGAGTGACACGGTGAGAAACTTCTTTGGAGCGTTCTCACTGCTGCAGGAGCTGCAGGACCAGGTCAGTGAGATGCACAGGGTGCTCCTGCCACATCCCAGCACACGGCCGCAGAAATGTGGTGGGCATACCTGCTGCATACACCAGCATTGGTATCAGCAATGCCCAGCCCAGGCTGTGCTTGTGTAATGATGTGGTTTGAGCATCTGATCTTGGGAATATTCCTGTTTTCTCCTGACCAGGGATTGACAGTGGAGTCGCTGAGCGGCTGCGAGGTGCCGGTGATGGAGGTGCCCCTCAAGGAAGGGAAGCTGCTGGCTCTGGATCCGGCAGTGCTGATGGAGTTACAGAAGGTGTTTAACCCTGAGATGGCCTACATCACCTACATCCCCTTCTCTTGCTTGCTAGGTATGGCTTGGCTACCCTCTTTCTTAGAGCTCCTTGTTCTGTGCGCTCATGCTTGACCTGAACTTGGGAAGTCAAAGGGTGTAAGTTGGCTGGGGAAACCCACAGCTTCTGCATGGTGGTTTGGTCTGCTTGTGGAGTCAGGAAGCCCACTGGGAGTTCAGGCTGCTTTGGCTGGGAGCAGCGTGTGGCTGGCTTGGTGGGAAGTTGTATTCAATGGCCACGTGCTGACCATTGTTCTGTTGTGGGATGATGAGGAGATTCCTTCCCTGGGAGCTATTTTATCTCTTTTTCAGGTGATGTGATCCGGACGGTTGTGCCCAACCACTCGCTGGTTGAGAAGTTGGCCGGTCTCTACCTGGAGAACGTGAACCCAAAGAACCTGCAGGTGGTTGGCCTAGAGCAAGCACCGAGCATGGCAGGCTCAGACCAAGATATGCGAGGGACAGAAGCGTTCTCCAGCCCCCAGGAGGACAGTCACTCTGGTACTTTTGGGAGCGTGCTGGTAGGGAACCGCATCCAAGTTCCTGTGGACACACAGCGCAAGGGCCTGGGCTTACTTCACCTCAGTGCTGGCACTGATGGCTTCATTCCCAGCGCATCCAGTGAGGAAAACACCCTGAAGCATGACCTTCCTCGCAGCACCCACATGCTGTGTGGGAACTGGCTGGCGTATTGGCAGTACGAGATTGGGGTGAGCCAGCATGACCCCCGCTTCCACTTCCATCAGATCAAGCTGCAGAGTTTCTCAGGGCATTCGGGGGCCATCAAGTGCGTGGCACCACTCAGCAGTGAGGATTTCTTTCTTAGTGGCAGCAAGGACAAAACTGTCCGCCTTTGGCCCTTGTACAACTATGGGGACGGTACCAGCGAGGTGCCACCACGGTTCACCTACTCTGAACACAAGAAGTCTGTTTTCTACGTGAGCCAGCTGGAGGCATCGCAGCACGTAGTGAGCTGTGATGGGACTGTGCACATCTGGGACCAGTTCACAGGTAAGCAGGGAAAGGGAAAGGGCAGCCTAGAGTGAACTGGTCCAGTCCTTGTAGACGGGGGGGCCTTAATTCTGATGGCTCCCCACTGTAGGGACTGGAGATCTGCCATATTGCTTCTCCATACATTTACAGCTCTTATCATCTTTCTCGTGTATTCACAGGCAAACTTATCCGGACTTTTGATGAGTTAGATAGCAAAGCCCCCATCACAGCTGTGACCACCATGCCACCTCCTTATCACAGCATTTCTGTGGCCAGTGCAGACTCTGTGCTGCGTTTCATTGACCACAGGAAGCCAGGATTACAGGTATGGAGGCTGTTTTGCAAGCCACATTCCTTCGGGCTCCCCTGTGGCATTTGTGTGCTTAATAATACAATTGTGGCTGATCCAAAGCCAGATGTGATGGCTCCATGAAAGCCTGCTGTGCCCTAGAGTCTTATATCTTATAAGTGCTGGATCCCCTAAGATTTCAGCCCACTGGTAGCTGGATTCTCTCTCTGTCTTGCAGCATGAGTTTCGCTTGGCCAGCGGGGTGAATGCTGGGCTGATCCGCTGCTTGGCTGTCAGCCCCAGCGGGCGCAGCGTTATGGCTGGCTTCTCTTCTGGTTTCATCGTGCTGCTGGACACCAGGACGGGACTCATCATGCGGGGCTGGCCTGCCCACGAGGGAGACATCCTGCAGATCAAGGTGAGTGGTTCAGCAGGGATCGGGGCGGGGGGCTGCTTCCTGGGCCTTGCTGATCCTTCTGACATGTGCTGCTTGGCAGAGCTTATCGGTCCATCCTGTGGAGCTCAGGGCTTTCCTCCATTCTTTGCTGTGTCTCTAAGTGTCTGCTCAGGCTCTCATGCCCCGTGGCTCATGCTATGAGCAGATGCTCTCGGTGCAACCTGTGCTGGACAGAGAAAGCCCTCCCAAGCATCTGCAGGTCTGCAGCACGGGCAGGGAGTAGCCACGTGTCCTGGTGGAGGCTTTCTCCTTGGGGCTGTCAGCTCCCTGTGGGGAGCATCACTCTAATGAATAACTCTTGTCCATATTTACCCACTCGGGGAGCAGTGGTTTGGGCTCGTGTCCTCGACCCAGTGCAGTTTAAACAAAGTTCAGCGGAGTGGGTTGTTTACTCTCTCACTAGCTCTGCTAATAAGCATGCCAGGCTTCTGTCTTCAGCAGTGTTTTCTGCTTAGCTCCCAGGTTCCTTGTCCATGAGGAGGAAAATAACATGGCAGGTGGCTTAATGGAGAGGGATGCCATGCAATAATCTCTACCTGCTGCGGTAGTAACAGGTGATAAAATCAGAGGAATATCAGCAACTTGTTGAGAAAAGCTGCAGCCCATCTCCTGAACACTTTGAATAGTGCTGGAGGAGGTGAACAGCAACCAGAGTCCTGTAGTTTGTGGTGTCCACCTGCATGCCTTGTTAATGCTGTTTAGTACAAGCCAGCTGCTTGGAAATGGCTGGGGCTGTCCTAGAGGATTGCACTGGGGACTGCTGGACTATTGGCAGCTACCTGCTTATCTCATGTCCAGGGTGAGCTTAGGGGTTTTTACTGTAAGAACGTTGATTAAGTGTCTCTCCTTCTCCTACAGGCCGCAGAGGGCAACGTGCTCATCAGCTCTTCTTCAGATCATTCCATGACCGTCTGGAAGGAACTGGAGCAGAAACCACTGCACCACTACAAATCTGCATCCGAACCCATCCATGCATTTGACCTCTACGGCAATGAAGTGGTGACTGGCACCGTGGCCAACAAGATTGGTGTCTACTCCATGCTGGAGTCCTCAGCTCTGCCCATCAGCACAACCAAGCTGAGCTCAGAGAATTTCCGGGGGACTCTGACCAGCCTGGCAGTGCTGCCCATGAAATGCCACCTCCTGCTGGGCTCAGACAATGGTGTGATACGCCTCCTGGCATAGCAACCCCAGCCCAGAAGCTTGTGGCTGTCCCACAGCTTTGGTAGTAGAGCTGAAAGCCAGCAGTGTTGCTGATAGAAGAGCCAGAGTTAGGTGTTTCTGAACGGAGGATGCAGGAGGGAGGTGCACTTGTTAGTGAGCACTCGGTTAAGTATCCCTAACCTCTTTCTCTATCTTAAAGAAAAAAAAAGAAAGCCATAACTGAGAAACCTCCACTGCTGCTGGGAGAAATACTGGGCATTGTAGGTCACTGTCACCCCTGCAGAGAGGTCTGGAGCTTTCCGTACCGTGTGTGCCTGATCCCCAGGGCACTGTGAGCTGCCCTCCAGAGAAACGTGGACCATGGGCTTCCCCCTCCCTTCCGTTAAGGGGTAAGAGGTTGCCCTCAACACAAATAGAAATGTATAGCTACTGCCATCTGCACTTACCCTTCACACTCTGCTCCTGAACCACTGAGTAGTCCTGCAAGGACAGCATTAGTGGGCACTGCCTCCTTTGGAGCTGCGTGCTGCTGGGCACATCCCCTCTGCCACGTGTGGGATCAAAGCCCAGAGGATCCACTCTGTTAACTTTAGGCTCTGCTGTCTGAGTGAGAGCCTGCATAGGAGGAGGAGAGGTTAACTAGAGCTCTTTTGTTGCCTTACTGGCTCCAGAGCAAAGGCAGGAATGCAAGTCAGCCAAGGCACAAACCCCCTATCTGCTGTACTGCTTCATCCTGTGATTTAGGAATGAACTGCAGAAGGGTGGTCTTGAAGGCTGGAACTGGATGCTTCTATCAGGATTTTTGCTTCTGGAGCTGTAAGGTGGGGATGGATTGTTGCTGGTTCCTACCCCAGCTGCACTGCATCTCGTTATTATCAGCAGGTTGAGGAGTGCTCTGTGTGCTATGCATTGGCAGCGTTCCTCAAGAAATTCCCTTTCTCATCCTCTCCACTCTCCTTTGTGCTGATCAGCCTTCTGGGGAAAACAGAACAGCAAAAAGGTCCTCAATTTTACCCCTTCCCACCACAGTTTGAGAACCTGAGATCACAATCCAGAATGGCATTCCTCTGGCCTTCCCTTAGGGACAGCACTGTCTGCTCCCACTCCTGTGTGACCCAAAGGTGAGGAGAGTGCTCTTCGACCCAGCAGCAGGAGCAGTTGCCTCACTTTTCTTGCAGCCCTTTTCCCATCCATCCCTCTTGTTATCAGGGGAGCGGGAAGCTCTTATCTTGAGCAGAGGAGGAGCCTGCCATGATTTGTCCTGAGAGAGGAATGGGGGGCACCCATCCAGCTGCCAGGGAGCTGGGAAGCTGCCCTGTGCTTTCAGGGAGGGGTGTGGTGGTGAGCAGTTGGCCCTGGCTATCCTTCCCCATCCAAGGGAAGCTCCTAGTCCCGTGTTGCCTATTAACCATTTGCAATAGATGTAAATATTGACTTCTAATAAACTCTTTGAAAGAGATGCAGAGAAGTGCGTGTGGGGACGCTGTGTGCAGGGCTAGGTGTGCTGGGGGAGCCCAGGAGCAATGCTGCACAGTGGCTGTAGCTGTGCTCTGGCACCCAAGGCTAAAGCTCTGCATTCAGGCATCGCTTGTGTTCCTGGAGGAGGGATGCTGTGAAGATGCCATGGATGTAAGGTAGGATTTTCCATTGCAAACGATCTGCTTTCCAAAGGGAAGTAGCTCCCCGTGTTGCAGTGCTACATCCTGGTGTCGTTTCTGGTAGCAGAACACAGATCTGTGCTTTCCATTCCTTCCCACTGCTTGGGGTGTTTGGAAACCGTGAGCCCATTGCACGAAAAGGATCACTGCAAGTGCTAAAATCCTCCTTAGGATCACACCGAGGACAAGGCCAGAGCCATATCCCATGCTGGGAGGGGATTACTGTTCTTTCTGCATGCAGCACAAAACCACATTCGCCTGGACAGCCCTGCTGGAGTTCTGCCTGGCCCCGAGCCTTTTCCTCTATACAGTGCAGTGCTGTGGGGCCTTGGTTCCTGCTGTGCCCTAGGAAGGCACCAGCTGCTCTCAGATGCCTATGCATGCTGCCTGGGTGTGCTGCTGTGGGGCCTTGGGCACCCAGCATCTGCTGAACACAGAGCCTCGTGTTTGCTGCAGCATCTGGGCCAGAGGGAGGAAACATCCAAGGCTTTCTGCAATGAAAATTCCAAAACCAGAGAGCCCTGTGGCAGTAAATACCAAGCCCTAGATTTGCACTGGACTTATGAATAAAAGGGTGCATTCCCAGCACAGGGAGCAATGGAAAGCAGAGCTGCTGCTAGGAACAGCTGGCATTTCCCATCAGCACAAATGTGATTCAGTGCTGGTAAACTCAAGGTTAACGTTGCCTTGCAATGACAGCATCATAAAGTGTCTCCCCATCCCCAAATACACCACAGGCTCCCTCTCCTGCCCCAAACAAATGTTTAACGGGATGCTGTAAGTCAATATTTGCCTGCCAAATTCTGAAATAGGAGGTGGTGCTGAAGGTCGGCGGGTAGGAGGGCTGGGCTGGGCAGGAGGCTGTGCCCCACACAGAGCTGTGTGTCTGGCTAACAAAGGTGCCAGCTCCAACGTGGACACCAACAGCCTCAGGTAAGGAGAAACTAAGGAGAATTTGATGGTAAATGGGGGCTCTTCCAATGAGCATTCGTGGTTTTATCAGGGAGGGAGTGAACCTGGCAGAGAGTTAAAGGTTTGGCACCATGGAGGGGGGAATAGGGGTGTTTGGAGGGAGTTGTGGCAGCAGGATTTTGGGTGAAGGGGAATTGAAGGTCTCAAGTTTTGCTGCCTCTGCTGGGCAAGCAGTCCCAACCCAGTGAGTTGTGGGTTGAAGCTGGGATTGCTCCGGGAGTGAAAAGCAGCCCCAGGAGTTAAGTGGATAGCAGCCATGGCGACGCCTGGGTTTTTGGCATGTAGTGTTTAAGTTAAGGAGAAGATGGGTTATTTCTGTTTGAGCAGGAAAAGTAGTTGGTCAAAGCTGTGGCCAGGGAGTGGGTGGGGTTTCATTGACTGCCCTGGAAGCTCCCACTGTCCCATACTGGAACTGGAGCACGGGGGTGGGAGAGGCTGGGTTTGCCAGCAAAGGGGGAAGGCAAGTGCTGGGAAGGGGAGGACTTTCTATTCCAGGACTAATTGCTGGTAAATCCCTCTGGTGTCTTTCTTGCCTTCTACCTGCAAAGCCCCTTCCAGGCAGCACTTGCTGAGGCAGGTCAGTAGCTCTTCTCTCCCAGCCAACACGATGCTGTGCCCACACCTCCATAGTTTGCATAGGGAAGGAGCAGAGGCTCTTGTCCTCTCCCACATGCACAGCGTGTGTAGGACTGATTAGGGAAATACCATTTGCAATCCAGATGAATGAGGGTGTTGGGGTCAGAAGCACAGGTTCCAAGCACCACAGGGTCATGTAAAGAGTCCGGCTGTGGTTACAGCTCTGCTCTGGTGCAGGTCCCTGTTCCTCTCTGATTTCGCTGCCTTGGCGTTGGACCCAGGAGTCCTGTGTTGTTTCTGTGCAGCATTGTTCATCTCCTTCTTGCTTTCTGCAAGCTCCTGCGCCAACCTGTTTGGCCAGGTTGATAATTTTCTCCCTGTAGACCTGACTAGGCTCAGCTTGCTGCTGCCAGGCAGCTGGAAATAACTCCTCTCACGGCTGGTCCTTCTGTTCCAGAAATATGGTGTTGCTCTGGGGTCTGTTGCTGCTCTCCCTATCTGCTCTGCACAGTCATCCAAGGGTAAGTTGTTCCCCTCCAGCCATCCTTGGGTTCTCTCCAAGCCAGCATAAGGCAAGGGCAAAGAAATTGTGCTCCAGCCTGCGGGGCAAACACTGCCCAGTGCTTCTGCTGAGTGGTGGAGGAGATTGCTCCTCTGCTGTGGAGTAAGCCTGCACCCCAGCAGGGAAAGCTTTCTCAGGTTTTCCCATCTAGGATTACTCTGGATATCTCCATTACCCAAGTGGATTTCTGCAGAAAATCTTTGGAAACTTGGCTTCAATTGTTTGTAGTGACCGTGACATTCACAGTTTAGCAGGACATTGTTTTAATAACAGCTTTTTTTTTTTCCTCTCTCTCTCTCTCTCTCTCTCTCTCTGTTTTAAACCTGGATCCCTGTCAGATCTGAGATTGCAAAACTGTCTACAGAATACATTATTTTGTACCCTTCTGACCCAGTCTCTTTCTAAACAAATCCAGTGCTTGCAGCCTCCCCCAGCTCCTGCTCCTTTCCACGTCCCCTCAATGGACCCCACAGTCTCCATTTCTGCATCCTAAACTTGCCCCTGTTTTCCTATAGCACCTCAGGACTGCTGCAGCCAGACTGGTGCCAGTTTCTGACCTGGCCCCAGGGAAATGTGTTAGGAGTGAAGGCAGAGTCAGCTGGCTCTGGAAATTCAGAGGAAATATCTGAAAGCTGACTTTGTTTTTCTTTCCAGCTTCCTTTGGCACAAGCTGTTGAGCAACAGCATCTCTCCTCAGACAAAGCTGTGGATCTGAAGGTAAGCAATGACTGGTTCCATCCAAAGGACTTGCTGTTACACTGTGATACTTGCAGTGGTTTTCCAGGATGAGCCCAAGCAGTGCAATTGAGCAGTGTCAGTGCAATAGGAAAGTCCATTTTGTGCACTTCTCTTCCTGCCTCACGCACTGCTGCTCCTCTGTGTTGGAAGCTCCAGACGAGGCAGCTGGGCAGCACACGGAGTAAATGTCAGTGTTTGACTGCACGGGGATGGGTAAGTGAATTATTTCACCTTTGATAAGGGAAGAGGAAGAAATGAGCTAGATATGAGGGTGAGAAGAAGGAAGACTCATAGCTGATGCTACCTGGTTCTGATAGTGCAGCGCTCCTGCAGCAAGGGAAAGTCATCCGGATACTGGTGGGAACAGAAAGATCTGATGGAAAAAAAAAGAATGTGTTTAAGGGCATACAAAAGTGAGGACAGTAGCAGCAGTGCTCTAGGCTAAAGCTTAGACAACTGGAAAATGAGGAGTCTGGAGAGAAAAGGGATGGAATAAACCAGACGAGTCAAGAAGAGACAGATGCCTGCAGGAGGATCTGAGCCAAAAAGGATCAAGGCTGTGACAGCAGCACAGGGTGCTGACCAGTGCATGAGGCAGATCTGCAGTCCCAAAATATGTGAGAAGGTGAAATCAAGGTTGAGGAAGATGGATCTATAAACAGTGAAGCATAGGACAGGTGCTGAGCAGGTGGTGGCTCTTACCCCCACAGCCTGGAGGGGGTCCTGAGGGCAGGAGAGGAGGAACCCCCACTCATGTCCATTTTCCTGGCATAAAAGATGTGGTTTTCCCAAGTCATCAAGGTGCTCTCAGCATCAGGGTTAAAAGATGAAGCAAATACTCCGTGAGAGCAGAGATGTTATTTTCTCAACCTGTTTAATTATACAGTCAAACCCATTAAGGAGGTAAGACTCCTGCTTTCCCAGTGCTATAACCTTCTCATTTCTCCCCAGAACCTGAAAAGTGATGGAGATGAAGAATCTGCTCTGCCAGGAGCCATCCCAAGCCTGCCAAATGCAAAGCTGGCAGACACCTGGGAGATCTATGGAACATCACCTTCCATCTCCACATCAGCTGAAACTGGGGATGATGAGAGCCCAGGAGATAAAGCCACAGCTGGGGCTGTCAGCTGTCGTGAACAGGAACCCTTTGGGAAAACCCTCTCTTCTGAAGAGGAAGGAGAGGATGAAGAGGAAAGCTGTGACATAACTTGGAGGAAGAGCCAGAAGTTAGCAAGTGGGCTGATGAGGTTCAGCACTGATCTCCTGAGAGAGGTCCAGCAAGAGTCCAACGGGAACGTGATCCTGTCTCCCCTCAGCATTGCCCTTGCTCTGTCTAACCTGGCACTAGGTACTTACTGTAACAGCACTTGTTTCTGCCCTTCCCTGCACCCCTCCCTCCAGATGGAGGCACTGGGAACCAATGTGCAAAGCTCAAAGATTAAATACGTCACCTTCTACTTAATCTCATTCTTGCAGCTTTAATTAGGTACTGTTACAATTGAAGCTGCCCTCAGAGGGCTCCTACTTTCACATTTCTCTAATCTCTTGCACGACACTGTATGTCTCTAGAATGAGGCACTCAAATTAATGTCCCTGTTTTCTACTCCATAGGCATGAACTAACAGGGATTTCACTTTGCTTTAGGAGCAGCAAATCAGACAGAGAAGCACCTGCTGGAGGCGATGCACTTGGAATCCATGCCCTGTCTCCACCACATGCTAAGCAGCCTTCGCAGGAGGCTGGCAGCATCCATGCTCAGCCTCGCATCACGTTTGTACCTGCAGAAAGGTGAGAGCTGGCACAGGGCAGCCATGGGGATGCAGGACAAAACTTGGTGACAGAGTGCAGTGCCATCCTGGGGAGGTCTGTTTCCCTGGCTGCTCCCCCTGGGCAGTGGCATGTCACTGGCTGGCTTACTGAGTGCATTTTTAGAAGGTCTTGTGACTTCCTATGCAATTCTTCCTCTCTGCCAGGATCTGAGGTCAAAGAGAAGTTCCTGGAGGAGTCGGAGAAATTCTATGGGGCAAAGCCTGTGACCCTTTCTGGGAGCAGTGAGGATGACCTCACGGCCATAAACAAGTGGGTAAAGGAGGCAACTAACGGGCAAATACCCACCTTCCTACAGCAGCTCCCTGGAGACACAGTGATGCTGCTGCTCAATGCAATCCATTTCCACGGTGAGCTCCATAGGCCTTACTTCTCAAGCCTGATCATCTCGAGGAATAGTTAGAAATCTACTATTTTTTCCCACCAACGCTGTAGCTGCATGGCATCTCCTTTCATTGCTTCCTGATAGTCAATCTGCTTGTTCTTTTCTTGTTCATCTGCTGTTCCTCTTACTTTGATTTCTTTACAGTAACGATCCCCAACTGTTTCACAAGTGCTAAAAATGTTACTTGACTGCAGAGCCAGAATACAGCAGGTGGAACCTGTGGTATTTTTGCATCCTGGGTTCAGGATCCCAGACAGCAGCACATCACTGCTCAACTTAACCAAACCAGGTCACGTGCAACCCACTGTGCACCAACCAAACAGCTCACAGGCAGCTTCTTTGGATTCCTGACTACAGATGGTGGTTGGGCACATCTTCCTCTTTTAACTTCCTGAGGGCTGTGCATCAAAACAAAGGCCAAACACTTCCACGGTAAATCTGCAAATGTTTTTGCTTGGTTTCGGAGCAGTTTCACTGTACACAGCACAAAGGCAACACTCCTCATTTTCTCAAAGCACTTAAACATACATTGCTTATCTCCACAGCCTTCAGTCCCACGCTGGGGCATCAGGATTAATCCTAGTTCCTTTTGTTATTCCATAATACCTCTGGAAGATAAGGGCTTCCAGCTGCTAGGGTTCTTGCAGCCTTGGTACTGCCTTCACTGCATTCCTACCTGGCCACTTGCTGCTTTGTCTGGGAACTCACAACAGGAATGGTATCAGCTAAGCAGCTCGTAGGTCCTGTTTTCCTGCCCCAAAAGGAAACTTCATTGGATTCTCAACTTGAATTTTGACAGGGTTTTGGAGGAATAAGTTTGATGCGAGTTTCACTGCACCAGATACATTCCACCTCAATGATGATTTTGTGGTTTCGGTTGAGATGATGAAAGCCCAGCGGTACCCCTTGAGCTGGTTTACACTGGAGTCCCAGGACATTCAGGTGCATGCAGGTTTTGACTGGAATTTCCTCTTGCTGTTTTATTTCACAGCCTCCAGCTATTCTTTCCAAAAACCAAGTACTTCTTAGCAAGGATAGCACACATAACATTTTAATAAGTATCCTTTGTGCTTACTTCCAGTAAGAACGTTGAATTTCTGCTTTCAGTTTATGGAAAAAAAACAAACAGGTATTCCCACTAAGTGAGAACTAATGGAGTTTTAAAGCTCTGAATTAAAAATGAATGAGGAAATAATGGAAGGAATTCCCCTAAACAATGTACTGTTGGAATCCTTCGTGATGCAGCTCAAAGTATGGCTATGGTGTCTGTGAGCTTCCATCCTGACACATGTTCCTTCCTTACCAGTCTGTGGCCAAATACTAAAATCTGATGCTGCTATTCCACCAAACCTCCCCCCCTAGAAGAAAATGGACACTTTCCCAGCTGTCCTATATCTAGGTTGGCTCTGTAGACAAATCAGAGTGAATTCAAAGCATCACTTTCTGGTGTTTCCTTCTTCTTCCATAAATTCTTCTGGTTGGTTTTATTTCCAGGTGGCCAAGTTTCCCTTTAAGGGTAACATGAGTTTTGTGGTCATTGTACCAAACCAGTACACCTGGAATACCTCTCACGTGCTGGAGAACTTCCCTTATGGACAACTATGCAGGCTTTTCCCCAAAGAGGTGCCCACCACAGTGAAGATACCCAAAATAAAACTGGACTTCCACCTGGAACTCAACAGTGTTCTCAGTCGCATGGGTAAGGCCTCTAAGGATTTGTGTAGAATGAGTGAATCTGATCAATCTCTGTGGCATATGTTCGCTAGCACTAAAAACTGCCATCCTTGTTTCCAAAGCTGTGCCTCACAGCTTGCTCCAGATAACATCAAAGCCCTCCACATTCCTTATTCCTCTCCTCCTCCTTACTCTTTGCTTGCCTAGCACCAAATGTTTTGCTTCAATGAGATGATACTATAGAGAAGGCAGCATTCACTTCCTTCCCATCTTTACAAGCTTCTCCTATTCGTAGCCAAGACCAACTTCCTGCCATGTGTCAACTTATCTCTTTTTTCTAATTGCAAAATGGATCCAGAGCATAAAAACTGTCAAGAGAGATTGCAGATCACAAAACTTAGAACTGAGAGCTTACTGAAATGAAACACTGTGCTCTGAGTCCCAGCATGAGAATAAACAGAATTCACTTTGCTGTGCAAGCTGCTTAAAAAGAAATAATAACATGTAACAACAGATGAGGGAACTGCTTTCTTCAGCCAGCTTTGACAAGAATCAGAGCTGGTGGGAGAGGTTAACTTAGGCTCGTTTCTCTGCAGGCCTCCAGGAGCTGTTCATAAGCCCAAATCTACAGAAGATCTCAGATGAGCCTCTCTTTGTGTCCAGCATACAGCATCAATCTGCCATGGAGCTTAAAGAAGATGGGGTGGAAGCCTCTGCTGCTACCAGCGTCATGGTATCACGCTCGCTGTCGGCCTTCAACTTAGACCGGCCCTTTATCTTCATTATATTTGAAGAAGAAATGGGCATCCCACTTTTTATAGGCAGTGTAAAGAACCCTAACCCCAATGCTGCCCCCCAGATAAAAGATCTACAGGACTTGCCTGATGCAACAGATGACAACGAGTACCCCATGCCCAAATAAGAGAGGAGCAAAGCCTGTGTTCTGGGACTGCTACTTGACCCTCTGGACCAGCTAAGAGAGGCTTCCTACCACTGGTGATCTCCCTTTGAGGCCACAGAAGGCAATTCCTTGCTTGTTTTCCTTTCCAGATCCCTACAGACCAGTCCTGGGATATCCCATTCCAGCCCTGATGAGCTTTTCTTGGCTGGAGCTTCCCTCTGCTGACCCTGAAAAGCTTGCTTTGCCTCTCAGTCCTGGAAGGGAGATTTCTGTGTCCCCAGACTCTTATTAGAGTCTTCATTAAGCTCTTATTAGAGTCCAGCATAGCCTGAAATCATCATTATCATCTGGCAGCTTGGATAGCAGCCAGAAATATTAATACGGCTCTTCCTTCCTTGGTTCCTGTGAACATGCCTTCCTCACAGTGTTCCTCTATAAACTGCCTGTTTGTACCCACCTAGGAAATGACCTCTAAATCAAGTGGACTAGTAACCAGTTGTCTTCTCTGGGATGAGTCAGAGCCACTTCAGGCACAAGCTCTTCTCAGACACTGCCTTTTCCCACTCCTTGGCTATTAGGATCTGCTGTGGGAGGGTCTGCAATGAGGGACTCGCTCCCTTTATCTCCAGTCCTGTTCCTGGAAAATAATTCTGGTTTCTTGAGCAATGCTAGATTTTTCAAGGCTTATTTTATAAAGCATTTTTTAGTAATTTTTATGTTGGCAGAATAATAAAGAGTAAAGCAGAATGCATTTGCTTATGGTGTTGCCTTGAAAGACTCAACAAGGAAAGGGAACAGGCAAGCAACTTGAATAATTGCAAAGATTAGGAGAAAAAAATAGCCTGGGCATGAAAGATACAACGTCAGGAGGGGCCCTGCAAAGGAGCTGCTCTTTGCTATGCTTTGCCACAGAGGATAAGGGAGGCTATGAGGTACAATTGCTAATCAGTGAAGACTGTCAAATAAGTGCTAGCTCACTTGCGGAGTGTGCTTGACTCACTTGTTCAGAGCTGGCTCTGCGAAATGGGCAGAATTCCTTGAATTAAGGCACAGCTCCCTGGCTTCTTGTTCTAAGGCAGCTGTGCACAACTGCAGCAGCCTTCCAAGTAGAACTATTGGGAACCCTCCACCCCACAGAGCTAGCCATTCCCACTTGAAAACGTTAGACCAACTCACCATTGCCTGCCATGTTGCAGTTATTTATATGTAACACCATGGTTGTCCATAGCAGATTCTGCTTCCAGACTCCCTCAGCCTCTGGATAAAAAGTATGGTGCTCTGTTTTTGTGAAGTACCAGTTACACAGCACAAGGGCCATCCTTCTGGCAGAGTTTTCCTAACTCGGGAAGTCTGTCTTCCCTCAAAGGAAGGAGCAGAATGCTTCTGGGAGCCTCCGTCCCTGAATAGTCTGCACCATCTGCTGGAATAAGAGAAGGACTGACTCACTAACCATGAATTCCAGGGACGCAGGAGACTTTGGAGAATAAAAAGTACTGGCTCAAAGCTGCAATTACACATTTCTTGTAGTCTAAAAGAGGAAAAAATGGCTAAAGATAATGCCCACCCCTGTGACCAATGCAATGACACATCCCCTTCAAAATGAGGGTGTAATTATGGGGCCACATAATTCCAACAAGAAAACCCACAAGAATCTAGCTCTACTCCAAAGGCATAGCTCTAGCCCACAGGGTACATTTCAGCTCATTTATTTATACAGATTCATCTGGAACCTTCAGAAATACCATCCCATGCCTTGGGTAAGTCTTGCTTTCCTAATGCAAGGTCATTCCACTCTGTTGCACTGCAACCTGTGCAAAAGTGCAAGCCCTCCTTTACACAACTCTGCCCTCCAGTGCCCTTTCTTCTGTAAGATTTTTTTCCCCCCTCATTCTCAGGTTCCTGAACAGCTTTGGTTTTTATTTCCTATCTTCCTTCTTTCTGCCATTCCTCCTCCTCCAAGCTATTCTTGTCAAACTATTAATTTCGTCTTATTTGTCAGTAGAGCAGCCTCCCATGACTGTGCTTTGGTGCACAAATGATGGGTTACACCAGCCTTAAGACTCCACTGACTCTGCAGAAGAGGCACTTTGTAAAATGCAAAGTAATATTAATGTCTCCACTCAGGAATTTCCACTTTGCTTTCCTAAGCCTTCATGTTGACTGAGCTCTGTTCTGAAGCAACATGACCAGCACAGAGCATCTGCTCCATAACTCACCTGCACCACTGGCTGAGAATACCAAATAAGCCTGAGTATCTTTAATATTACACAGGGTTTTTCTCACTAAACCAAATTCATATCAATATCAGAGCTTCCACACCGCTGTTCAGGCAGCATATTGTGTGCTCTCTTGAATCCGAAACAACCAACAGTAAAATATTTCTATTGATTTAACAGAACTGATACTTATGTAATGAGAAGCAGGGGATTAACAAATCCACCACTTCAGGGATATGCTTGCTCTACCTGCAGGAATAAAGCTTGCTGTAGGCTATAACATTCTATGCAATCGCTACTCCAATTTAAATGGTTTTACACCAAGATTTTATTTAAAAACAAGGGTTTTCATTTGAAGATACACACAAGATACAAAAGTGTTCTCTGTGTTCTTCCACAAAATGTATTTTAATACCGAATTTGTATCAAGAAGTGACAAACATCAGAAGTGATCTCCACAGCTCACGCTCTCGTTTTCCAGCAGACGATGGAAGTCCAACAAGTGCAAACATCTCTGCTGATGCCTTCTCACTGAACAAGCCAAGAAGCAGCTGAGAGCAGAGCTGCTGCTCTTCGTGTCAGAAAGGGTCACCTTTGAAGCACTGGCTAATTGCAAAGCAGGCTTCCTGATTTGCTTTTCCCACTTGCAAAAACAGCTGCTATTGCTCCTCCAAAACCATCCCTTCCTCTTATCTGAGGGACTGTGCAAGGCCAACGCAAGCATCCATGAGTAACTCCTTGTTACCTCCTAGCAGCAAAGCTGGCAGCCCAAAACATGTCCCAGTACAAACCTGGACTAGGGACACTGATGTTACTGCACCATTTGCTTTCAGCATTTCCAAGCAGGCAAACAGCTGTACTGGATCAGGCAGACACATGTCCATCTCTCCTAGTAGCTAAGGTCAAATGACTGAGGAATAAACCCCAAAAGTAGAACTCAGGACAGAAAAACAACTCTTCTCTCATTGCGTCTCCCAGGTGCTGAGCATGATGTGACATCTGACCATCGTTAGACTGCAATCTGTCGTCCATTAATTTATCATTTACTTTTTAAAAATCCATTTATCTTTCATCTTCTTCAGTATTGAGGTACAATGACTTTTACAGTTCAATACTTATGAGAAAAAAATAACAAACCTCACCAAAAACATACTGATCTTCATGAGTGCTCCCCATGGCTCTTCTATTATGAACAATAACGACCTCTGCCTCTTCCCTCCTCCCAATCACTTATCACTCTATAAGCTCCTACAACATTCTCTTCATTAACTTCCTTTCTTCTTTTTAACCAAGCCTACTTTTCTTTTTTGGCCAAAAAAACTTTAAGACATATACATTGATAACTTCTTCACTAGCAACTATCACTGAGTAGAATCACTTCTCGAGATCTTCCCCTTAACTGCTTTAAGCTGCAGATGAATCCTGCTTCCCCTTCACAAGCCTCTCCATTAAATCTTTAAACAATGCTCTATTAACAGAGAGAAGAAATTCCCTCATGTGACACGGGGCAGCAGTGAGGGAATAAAAGGCTTTCTCAAACACCGCAGGGAAGAACAGGCTGAACACTTGGCTCAGCCCCACGTTTCAGCTGTTAGAAAGCCCTTATCACAGAAGGCACATTTGCTTTGGAAAGTTAAGCAAGAGGATCACAGCAAAAGAAAATGGGAGCAGAGCACTTTAAGAGCGCCCTGGGAAGCTGTAACCTGAAGCCTGCTGAAGGCTGGGCTGGGGAGGCAGCAAAAAGCAGATGTGGCTGCGCTGATCCCGCACTGTCCCCGGCTCACACTCACTGGGATCCTGCGGCAGTGGCGGCCGAGAGGAGCCCAAGGTAAGGGGCAGCAGAGGCTGCATGTGCTGCCCACCTCAGCAGCCGGCAGCCAAAGAAGCAGAGGGCACAAGGATGAGGCTGGGGGCTTCTGGGTGGGTGCTGGGGCACAGGTGTCAAAGAGCGGCACTCCCATCAGGTGAGCAGCACCACCAAGGGTTGGGAGCCAGCAGCATCCTTGGGCACCGCTGTGCTTCTGGAGCAGAGGTGTGCTCAGGGAGCGGGCCTCCTTTTTTCCTACCTTGTCTGCCCTGCTAGTACCTGTGTTGCAGCTGGGAAGAGGCTTTTTCTTTTGGCAAAGGTAACAATTTTGGTGGGAGTCAAATCCTCTAGATGTAGTGGTTGCACGATGCTTCAGAAGTAGCCAGTGCTGAGGGGTGGAGCAATCACAGAGAGCAGCGTGAACTCATCAGTGCTACTTCATAGGACCCCTAAAATCAGCAGTATTTGTAAATGACTTTGAGACTCGTATCACTGTAGAAGGAAAGCAAAACATTTCACTCAGCACCAACAGGCCTTCACAGATGGACAACTCCCTGGCACAAAGTTCCTCCTCAGCTCCTTTATCAACACTTTCTTTCTGTATCTTTCTTACTGTAACATCAGATTCTGCATGCTGTTGCTCCTCTTCTTTCTAAAGGCAGCTACAGATTTTCATAGCACTCCTGAAACCATCCCACCTTTGCTCCACCAAGTTCTTCTCTCTCTGCATTTCTGGCTGTGTGCTAAAGGACATGCAAATAGAATCCAGATGTTCAGACTAATTCAAGTGCAAAAAGGCTTTGTCTTTCTAAAATGGAAATTGTTTTTTGGCAAAGTTTGAGAAATACGAAGCTGGTGACAGCGCTGGCAAAAACAGAACAGATCTGCAGAACCAATCTCCGTTGCTGTACTCCCAGGAGCTCAGTATAGTTGGAAGCAGGGATTGTATTGAGCTTTTTTTTTTTCTTTCCAAGAGAAAAGGTTATGGTCTATGGAAAAGCTTCATCCCCAGACTGGACTGTGCCAAACCTCTTCCGTTTAGCGTGCAAGGACTGCTTGGTGCAGGCATCCTCACAGAGCCCTGGCTGTGACCTGTCTTAGATGCACGCTGAGCCTCCGTGCTTCAGCACGGCGCCTGTTCATTTTAGAACTCTGCAACAATAGAAGCAATCCCAACACTGTACCCACTGTCATACCACCACATACTTTGGTTTCTTCCAGCATAGTAAATCCTCTTGATAGAGTTGCATTTCCTGTGCCAGAAAAATCTCATCTACTCAACAGCTGGTATAGAAAGAGGCCACAAGATACAAGAGCACAGGGAGAAGAAAGTACTACTTCTGTTACGCTAAGCTTATGTGAAAACTTATGACCTCCACTGTGATACGGTTTTCTCCAAGGCAGAACTACCTCTAGAAGAAAAGGGTTTTGGCAGGAAAGAGCAGCAGTGAACGGCCTTTCACTGAAGGAAAGCCTCTGCCTGAGCAGACCAGGTCCTGACCTGTGGCTGTTGTAGCCACGTGGCTTTAAGTTGTATTTCTACCAGTAGGCGTATTGCCTTTATAGCAGCAGTTAATCTGAAACACATGTTCTTTCTGCTGCTTCACTGGATGCCTGGATCACAGGGGTTACTTAAACACAACTCTCTTCCTTTAATTTCTGGGAATCTGTATAAATATTGCTTCAGACCAGCCGCAGCGGCATCTGTTCTCTGGGGCATGACACTTC